TATCCACTGTGAACTAGGGGCACCTCGTACCAATGTCTGAGATGTACGAGCTTGGTCTTTTCTAACCCCCCCCCCCCTCCCCCACCACCCCTTCCCCAACCACGAGAATCGAACCCACGTCTTTTTGGAGTTCGCCCGCTGTGAACCTCGGTGGAAAGTCCTGTCTGTTCGTTCACGTTTGGCCTACCTCGGACTTGATCCGGGGTTTCAGTATTACGTGCACATCCGTTTTAACTGGCCTGGGTTATTTATTATACGGTGTCATTGGAACTTCCCACCAAATCACAGACGTCACACAATCAAGGAATCTAGGGCAGAAAAAGAAGCGAGGTGATTGATGATACCACGATTGTGATACTGACTTTACAGCCAGGCTCACCGCTATGAAGAAAACATGGGGGGGGGGGCACTTAGGGAGCTTTATAATTTTCTAGGGGCAGGGGGTTGGAGCAGGAACGCTTCAAAGCATTAGCCCATTGGGTACATGCCCTAGACCCCATAAGTAGTTATGCAGGGTGTTAGAGGTATCAGTTGTATCGATTTTTTTGCTTAGCCTCCCTCTTTATCCTTAGTAAAAGATGTCAGCCGTCTGACGTCACAATTGATAGGTTTTTGAGTATTTTCTTAGGGGATAATTTAAGGAAGGCAAATCGATATTTCTTAGTGCAGGGCCAGATTTGTGACAAAGGGACGGATGACTCATTACCCACCCTGAGCAGGCAATAAACCGCTATAGTGATTTTTCGCCATTTTGTCAGCAGAGGGCAAAGTTCTCTTATGTTTGATGGGTATAAAGAGCCGATGGTAAGGGCGTAATGGTCACCCTATCTGACTTTATATTCTTCCTTGTGTTCGCCAGCCGTAACCTCTATCGGAAAGTTCTGGTGGCTCATCCACTTTTGGACAGTCGTTCTGGGTGGCTCAGTTGGGGGGCTCATTACGCCCCTTTTCATCGGCCCTTTATACCCATCAAACATAAGAAAACCTCGCCCTCTGCGGCGCTGACAAATAGGCGAAAAATGGCTATTGCGGTAAATATTGCCTGCTTAGGTGGATATTGAGTAATCTGCCCCTTTGTCACAAATCTGGCCCTGCACTAAAGTAATATCGATTTGCCTTCCTTAAATTATCCCCTAAGAAAATACAGGCAAACGACACCCAGGGAATGAGTCTTTGGAGACAATGCAAAGTATCGATTTATACACCATATATGCCTCAATCGCCCGGAAAAACCAATCACTCGTGACGTCATCAGCCTCTTGATATTTACGAAGCATAAAGAGGGAGACATATACTTGTGACGTCAGACGACCGCCATCTTTTACTAAAGATAAAGAGGGAGGCTGAGCAAAACAAATCGATACAAATGATACCTCTAACATCCTGCATAACTACTCCCATGAGCATAGCGGTCCAATGCTTATCTGTGTATGTAAAGTGACCAACAACAAAAAAAAAAAAACAATCTTTGACGTTTAAATTGATTTTATGTAATATACAACCAAAATATATTCCTTACCCCCCCCCCTCTCCCTCTCTCTCACTCACTGACCCTCTCTCTCTCTCTCTCTCCCTCTATCTCACTCCCCCCCTCTCTCTCTCATCTCTCTCTCTCTCTCTCTCTCTCTCTCTCTCTCTCTCTCTCTCTCTATTAAATGTGGAACTTTTCTTAGTTTTATCCCCATCTTTTCTCATGCAGCAAAGAATCTTATGATACTTTGTTGTTGGTTTTCCTAATAAGAACACAAATCCACTTTCAGACTGCCGTGGTAAAAATAACTGTAATGCCTCAAATCTGACGATATACTGGATTGCAGGCGCGGATTAATCTAATTTCCCTGCTCTGCTAATGTCCTGAACTTGGTGGAAGTAGAAGCAGCAGAGGGTTGTCTACAGTCAAATTCGTTGATTTTCTTCAGCATCTATGTTCATGTTTTGCTGATTCTACTCGTCGGCGAAATTCATTGACATCCTCTTTAGGAATAGATTTTGTGGTCACGCCTGACGAAAGCCAAGTTCTGTAAATTACCTGCTGATTGATAAAAACCTGGCAGGCCAAGGTCAAATTTAAAAATCCGCTTTGCTGTAATGTTCTTTTAGCTACCTAATTCACTTTATATATGTCGTACCCTTGTGGGGTACAATTTTTTATTTGAAGCCCCACCTTGGCTTCTGCCGGTTCCCCTGAATATAGCCGGGACATAGATATGGCCTAGCCATAGATATTGCCTAACGGCGGAAAGGTGTTTCTGGGACCTCCCCACGGGTGATCCTCGTCCGCATGGTGGCACTTTGTGTCACGCCAAGTCGTTCTATCCTTCGCTGTAGCATGCAGCTTTCCCCGTGTCCTCCCCATCTTTTTTTAAATTTCACTCTCTAGCTGCCTTTTCCATGTATGTTTTTAGTATTCCTTTAGTGCTATGCGCTTGTGGGTTCCAGTGCAAGGATATTCTAGTTGTATTGTTCTCAGGTTTTCTAAAATGTGTGCTATTCAAAGCCAGCGTCTTTTCTTCGCCTCTAGGCTCACTGGATCTTGTTTATTTCTCTCCCAAAGCTCTACGTTGTTGTTTATTTTCCTAACGAGGAACAAATTCCACCATCAGACAGCCGAGGTCAGTTATACGATAATGACTCAAATACGTCTGGACGACAACCGGATACTATGCACCCTGCTAAGGACACATCCTGAATTTGGTGGAATTAAAAGTAGTAGAGGGTTGCCGACAGTCTGTAAAATTCTTCTACTTTGTTCATCATCTGTTTTCATTTTTTATTTTTTGGGGCCTATCCTACTCATCGTTGAAATATATTGACATCATTTCAGGAAATGATTTGGTGGTCAAGCGTCTTTCCGGCACACTACACTGAGCATAATTTGATGTTGTGCTTCTTCTGTATGGTGGTTTCCAGAAAATAAAACATGCCCTGCATTCCCTTTCAGCTAACAATGTATAGCTGGTGAATACAAGGAGAGAGGCAGAGGGATTACTACTACTACTACTACTACTACTACTACTACTACTACTACTACTACTACTACTACTACTACTACTACTACTACTACTACTACTACTACTACTACTACTACTACTACTACTACTAATTCTACTACAACAACTACTACAACAACTACTACTACTAATAATAATAATAGTAATAAAAATAATGAAATGGAAAATTTTGAATCAATCTTTTTAAAAATTCGTTGGAATGGCATGCTAGAAAGATTGAATAAAATAATCAATATCCCCCAATCGTAAGATGTGAACATCCTTGTTGCTACTAATCTTTTTTGATCGCCCAGCTACTTACTGAGTTGAGTGCATGGCGCGACACTCTGAGCTGCCGATAAGGGTCAGTGATGGATATTTTGTGTGGTTTTCGTTGGTGCAGGAGCGGAGCAGCCATAGACTAACCTGTCTGCTGTGAAGCTGAAACAACGTTGACCTGACTCTTTGAAAACCTATATGCAGGAAACTAGGAATCAATTTAGTGAATATGATTTCAAAGTCAGGAGTATTTGTCCCGATACACATTACAGTGATGAAAGGGGTAGGCGGAGCGGAAACGATAACGAAGTCTACGTCTTAGTAGATATGATGAATCAACAGAGCTGCCAGAAGAATGGCTTTTCGGTAAAACCGAAAAGTTCAAGACACATCTTTGGACTGACAATACGAGGAGAGGCATAGCCACATACTGAAGTACCATTGCTTCTGATGAACTAGTATGAAAACGTGTGACAATCTGACTAATATGTATAAAAACTTTGGGGAAAGGGGGGGGGGTGGTAAAAATGACTCCTATGTCGACCCAGCTTAAGTGAGTAGTGGTCCTGGGAAGTAAAGGCGGTCGACGTGCTGCTGACCACATCAACCACCAAGTGCCGATTGGTCTTCAAAAATATAAGTCTAGCTTATATCCCAGTACGCCTAAAGGCGTGGAGAATGAACCTTTTTTTTAATGTGTCACATAGACCTTAATTACAATGACCTTTTAAATAAACGTGAGTATCTCAAGCACTGTATGGCTTTTAATAAAAATTGTGACTATTCAGAACAAACATTTTTAGACAATTTGAAATCAATTTTCCCGAACGTTGATTTTGCACTCAGAGTCTCCACGTGAATGATGGTAACCAAATGTACAGGAGAATGTTCTTTTCCTAGACTGGAACTAATTTTTATTTATTGCGTTGCTTCTGAACGAAATGGGGCAGCGTACTTTGAATGGGCTTTCACTCATGTGCTTGGACAAATGACATCGTGAAGGTCACATACATCAAGCCTATAGGATCTAATAAAGCAGTTCTGGGAAAAGATATGCCGCAAATGCTTGTTATGAAAAGAAGTTCGTAGGAATTTCTTACTGAACCCCATAATTTATGTATATATTTTAACATCAGTTTTGTTTATATATAAATAATATATATGTTTAATATCGACCTTTTACATTTCATTCTTGTGAGTGGCTGTCTTAGGGGCCACAGTGCCCTGGTTTACCCGGGGGTCTATCATGCCGTTAAAACTGCCCTTAGTAGGAGGACTCAAAGAGTTTAGTTAATATTATTTAATGATAACAGCAATAATAATATTAATAATAATAATAAATGCTTTCAAACGCATCCTCTATACATAACATGTTGGGGAAGCGGGGTTGGCTTGTTCTGCTCTATAACAGCTATTTAAGGAGCTCGAACACCCTCCTAACAAACGTTTTGTAAAGGGCCTGAGTTTAAAACCTGTTAAGCCACCGCCTGTTTTGTTGTTGTTATTGTCTGGCACTACAGGAGTTCCATTCGCCCATCCCTAAATCGAACCTGCTGAATTACGGTCATGCAAGGGGAATCCAGGGCTGGAGAATGGGGCGAGCTGATTGGTTAGAACCTCAACCGACGTCAGTTACTATAAATAGTAACAAACACAAAGACTTCCGGTCACACGAAAACAACCAAAAACCCAAACAAAAGTCGACTTCTGTAGCCATCTGAAGTTGTGGAGATGCCAGCCAACAACAGCACAGGGGACTGTCTCAGCAGTAAACTGTCCTTCAAAGAAAGGAGGACATTTTGTGAGCTATTGTAAAGTTCTCTTTGACGTGTGCGAATGCTGAGTTCTGCTGCTGTCTTTCGTCGAATGCAAGTTTCCTTATTTTTTGAAGGCCATTTGTGTCCGGTTCTTTATGCTTCAGCATCAGTGTCTGAGTAAGGTTTCAGTTTCTCTGAAATTTAAAGAATTCTAATAAAGGAGTATCATACTCAAGATTGGATCATCGCCACGTAATAGTCAAGCAGACGAATACTGGGTTCACTGCATTATACGATACACACCTTTTTTTTGTTTTGTTATTATAAGTTAAAGCGGTTACAATTAACAATACTTGGCTATTCTCCAGAATAACGGTCCTAAATTATGTACGCAGAATCCCTAACAGGGCCTCAGTAACGTGTCAGTTGGGTACTTCCGGGGACTATACCGGCGCCGCCGACGAATTGCGAACTTCCGGCGCCTTCCGCCACCGCCGAGAGTACTCCCCATGACGCTCACGCGCCGTGGATTGGGGCTAAACTTCTTCTTCTTCTTCGCGTTCACCAGCTGTAAACTCTGGCGGAACGTTCTGGCTGCTCATCCACTACTGAACTGCAGTCCTGCTCCAGAACCTGAGTGTTGCGTGTGCATCAGTTTTACAGATCTCATTCTCTTGAAAACAGACTGTTGGTTCCTTGCCTCTCCGGCAGATGCACTCCGACTTCAAAGGAAGCTCCCCAATTAGTCGACTCTTACGACATGCTTTTGGGGAGGCAGTGGGTCTATTCTTGTTTTCCCCACAATGGGGCCCCGGAATCCACACGGGGGGGGGGGGGGGGGGGGGGGGGGGGGGGGGGTGGGGGGGGGGCTGAACTAGATGGCTAGGACTCACGAGCAAATAAAGCGATGGCAGCTGCAGGAAATGCGGTAGCTGCTGCTGGTGAGTGCCAGCCATCTAGTTTAACCCCAATCTGTTAGGGATTATTTTCTGCGTAGATAATTTAGGACCGTTATTCAGAGGATAGCCCAAAACTTTTCCCAAAGCCGAATCTTTCAGCTCTGTGACACTTCTGAATTATTATTCTAGGATGCAAACATTTTAGCACACACACTGTTAAATTCAGTAACTATCTCAGAACTGTTAAATTCAGTAACTATCTCAGAACTGTTAAATTCAGTAACTCTCAGAACTGTTAAATTCAGTAACTATCTCAGAACTGTTAAATTCAGTAACTATCTCAGAACTGTTAAATTCAGTAACTATCTCAGAACTGTTAAATTCAGTAACCATCTCAGAACTGTTAAATTCAGTAACTATTTCAGACTGAAAGAGTTAAGAGAGTGAGGTAATTTACATTCATGACATAAAGAGTTTATGGTTACTCAACATTAAAATAAAATCTAATTGATTGCAAAGCTAGCAGGTGTAAGAGTAAGAGCAGCATTACCATTGTGTGAGCCATGTCACCTACCAGCTAGCCCCACTGCTTAGACACCCAAATACCCCCTCTTCATCCCTACTTTATGCTATCAGTATCAATCATGGACAGTGTGTATGGCAGTAGAAGAGAAAATAGCTACATAGGAAATATACTGTCATTGTAAAGTCACTAACAGCACAGGAGGGAACAAGGTTCTCTAATTCCAGCATTAGAGGGAGAGTTGCAAAAAGACTGTCTGAATCATATTGACAAAGAATGAAATGTTTGATTGCAGCATCTCTGGGATGAAGTTGAGGGCAACACCTAGAAAGAGATGGATATATGGTATAGCTCAAACCATAAAAAAAGAAAGATGAACAAATCAATCACTAAAGCCACATGAGAAATGCAAGGCAAATACAGAAAATTACAACACTGGGCTAAAATCTGATATCAGTGAAACAAAATAAGAAGAGCCGTGTCCAGAATGCCAACAGTAAGTCAGCTTATAATTTACTGTTGGGGTAGGTAGGTAGTTGTACCCCAACAGGACATCACACAAGCGATAAACACACGGTTACACAAAGTACCACCATGCGGATGAGGATCACCCGTGGAGAGGTCCCAGAAACCCCTTTCAGCAGTTAAGCCATATCTATGGCTAGGCCATATCTATGCCCCGGCTATAATCAGGGCCCCCGGCAGAAGCCAGGGTGGGGCTTCAAATAACAAAAAATTGCATCCCACAAGGGTATGACTAAGTTAATTTTACTATTTCCAGCACATTAGTAGAAGAGGCTGGCATTGGCAAATGAGATGAAGGTGGTCTCATCCTGATATATATCATTATCTGTGCCTCAGGCGTTTATTTGTACATTTTCCTGTATTGTCACACTCAACAGGCGATGTAGAGAAGAGAATCCTGTTGCTGTTAATGCAGAGGTCAACGCTCTCATCGGTGAAAATTCAGACGAAGCAGATGCAATAATCTATACAGACGGATCCGTTATACGCCAAAGAAGAAGCGCATGGGCATTTACAGCACGCTCAGCGGGCAGAACAGTCAAAGAAGCCAACGGCGCCTTCTCCATGACAACCAGCAGCATGACGATGGAGGTGATGGCAGTGACACAAGCGCTTGCCTGGCTTGAAACACAAAAATACACCCGCGTGTGTATACTCAGTGATTCAATGAGTATGATCCGGAGGGTTCAGGCAGGTTCAGTGCGAAGACAATGGCTTGAATCATTACAGAAGTCCACTGTCCGTGGAGTCACCTTTATTTTTGTTCCGGGACACGCAGGCGTCGATGGAAATGAAAGAGCTGACAGGTTGGCTGGATCCGCTATCACTACCGACGGTCAGCCTATGGATCATGCTGATATTATCAATGTCCTCAGAGAAATGGGAAGGATAGACGACTTTGGTGGCAGTGAATCCACATCACTCGCCAGAATGGCAGACTTGGGAATTAAGATCGGCACAGCAAAAAACGAGACGCACACCAGCTACGCCAGAAGACTTGTTAATCAACATAGAACTGGTACTATTAGCCATCGGACGTTGAGGTTTATACTGAGGGGAGGATCTGAGCACCTATGGACATGTCCGGAGTGCAATGAGGATAACCCAACTAACTAACTAACTAATTATCTGTCAAGGAGGAAAGTGATTGCATTATTCCATTATAGGGGTCAGAGTTGAATTTTCCTTTCTTGTTTATGCTCAATCTGTTTAGTTTGTATTTGGGTGAAGGTGGAGTATGGTTGAAGCTAGAGTCATTTGAGTTGCCCAGACTGTATATTTGTGTAGTGTACCCTTGATATGATCTACCAGAGTTTGTAGTTTAATCGCTAGCTTTTTATCCAGGGGGTGTTGTAACTGTTCTGCATTCTTGCAGTTGTTGATGAAACTTCAAGGTCATTGAAAAAAAAACATGAGAAATACTTATGCAAGTATTGAACTAATACAAACAAAGAAAAGAAATATAAGTTAAAAGACACAATAGAAAACATGAAGCTGTAGTGAATTCACTAAATTTTAAACCTGTTACTCCAAATGAGGATTGGCTGGCTGAGCAGTTGAGAATGCTGGGCTTTTATGCAGGAGACCCAGGTTTGAATCCTTGGTAAAGTCATATTTTTTTTTAATCAGGGGAAAAATTAATTTCTGTCTTGCATAATTAGTGGTGACGGCAATGTTGGCAGTTTGACTTCCAAATGATTACAGCATCTCACTGCAGGAGCAAGTGTACATCAAAGCATAAACAACTAGACACCCTTAAACAAATTTTTTTCATTAGCCAGGTTTTCCACCCACCTGAAACCAGTGCTATTGAATATGTACAGAATTGGTATCGCCCTTTGTTTTTAAATGCGTTTGCGGGTGTGTGTGTGTGTGAATTAGTTGGTTAGTTAATAAGTTAACCTTTACTTGGTTAATGTAAATTTTAGAAACCTATGATACTGTTTCAGTATAATCATAATCATGTGTCCTGCCAACCGGCATAAGCGCTCATGAGTTTCCACAGATCACGATCTCTGGTTGCCTGGAACAGCCCTCTTATTGATATCCCTCTATGCCATTGTTTGAGCTGATCCAGCATTATTTCTCTTGGTCTGTCTCTAACCGTTTTTCCACTGATCTTTCCAGTTGTCATGATGTACTCCAATGTCTCTCTTTTCATTATGTGGCCAAAGAACTGTGTTTGTCTCTTTCTTATTGTTGTAAATAGAGATTACTTTCATTAGCTTCTTTCAAGCAATCGTTATCTGCTGTTTCAGTAGCTAGCTATAAAGTCTTACAAAATTTATAAATCATTTTTGGTTTTCCCTGCATCAGAGAATGATGCTTATAGTGTATCTAATTTCATTGTTTAATTTAATTTTCTGCTAGTAACAAAAATTAAGTGTTAGTATATTGACATATTCTTCATTCACTCATTTTAGTCATCAAGGCTCCTGAAATAGATCGTGTTCTTAAGTTTCTTGCTATATCTCTTCCCCAGCTGAAAGAAGCAAAGATGTAGAGTCTGTAAGAAGTGCACATCCAAACAAAATTCCAGTAAGTTATAGAATATATATGTTTATATTTAAACAATCATTGCAGATTAATTTTTAATGCTAAGTGGTTGTGAAATGTGTTCATGCACTAGTTTGAAAGAATGCATTTAAAGGCAAGAGGATTAACTTCATTACAAAGTATGGCTTAGCGACTTTTTTCCTGTGCTGAAAGCTTCATACAAAGTGTGCACTCCATAGCTCTGGGCATCTCTGAAACAGTTGTGCTTACAAACTGAAAGACAGAGTGTGGCAGTGTCCTACCTGAATAGTCGCCTAAGTTCAATATTTTTGACTACATCTAGGACTTTGGATAGCGTATAGTAACGACACACCTTTCTCCTTTTTGCTGTACAACACCACAGCAATCATCCATTAACCACTTAGACATTAGCCTAACATAAGCCATGTTTTTTAAGAAGATATAAATATGTTTAATCTGTAAGGCAGTAGCTGAAGACACATCACTGTAAGGATGCCACAGAAACAACATGAATGTACATACTTTCTTCTGTCCCATCTACCATTACATCCAATGAATAAACTTACTTTGATGCTGGATTAAATGCATAAAGGCCCCTTTACCAATGAAGAAATAGAATACAATGTGAAACATCCGTTTGTCTGTTTTGTACAATCTCTCTCTCTTCAAACATGTCATAAGAAACTGTTATAGCGGTTTTTCATCTTCCCTTCCTCCGCCGTTGACATCACGCCTCCCATTTAGAAGCCGAGTCTCCTTAATCGTACTTCTATCTCTCAGTCATCTCCAGCTTCTCGTTTTACCAGACTGGCGGTCAGTCTACAGTGTCCTCAGTCTCTGAACAACTGATGCTAACTGACTTCCCTGGGGCCTTTGTTTGATAATATGATCATGGCCTGAGAACCTTACATGGTCTATTTCCAATCCTCCCATTGGGTAAATCCATTGGAAGGTTCCAGCCCAATCTACAACATTCCACTATCATCATCTATTTACTTGCACTCAACTTATTACCAAAGTGTTACTCGATTTGAGTGAAACTAATTTGTACTACGTGACTGTATGAAAGAGGGAAGTAATATGTTTATGTTTCTGGACAGCAATAAGTTAATAGTGAGGCTACCCCAGAAAGATTTTAAGCCCACTGCATATCTTTATTAACAATAAGAAGACTAAAGCTAATCATCTAACACCTTTATTTAGGAGTAGAGAACTCTGAAAAATACTCTTTTTTTTCTCGGGACATTTCCCTAGAAACATTTTCTTAATCAAGCCATGGTTGTCTTGCAACACCAAGATCAAAATATATAAAACATTGATAAGACCAGTTGTGTTATAAGGCTCTGAAACTTGGAGCACAACTAAAAGAGATAAAGCCTTGTTACAGGTTTTCTAAAACAAGAGTCTAACGACAAATCTTTGGACCTATCAAAGATGCAAACAGCTGTGAATGGAGAGTTAGAAGCAACAACAAAATTCATAATCTGTTTAAATCACCACTGATCACTGGCATCATGAGAGCTAATAGACTGAAATGGTTGGGGCATATTGAAAGAATGTCAGATGACAGAGAAGTAAAAACTGTATGCACTAGAAAGAGTAATGGTTGTAGACCACAAGAGAGACCAAGAAGACAATGGAGAGATAATGTCCAGACAGACCTGCAAACACTTGGTGTCACCAACTGGAAAGAGAGGGCCAACCAGAGAGATGAATTGAGGCGGGGGATATCTGCAGCAGTGAACCTCAAGATTTCGGAGTGCTGAAGCAGAAGAAGAGCCATGGTTTCAGAAGTTCTTCTTTCCTGCACTTAAGGACAGGGGGTGTAAAAACTGGGTTTTCCTCTCTGGGATATTTTTATAGCTTTTATGAAGAAAGTCTGAAGAAATTATTCACTTTTAAGTAAATTGTAACAAAGTTATTTGGGAGAGAAATTGTAGAAACTTTTTTGTAAAAAAACAGTTCTATCTTGTACAATCAATTCAGTTTCATGAATGGAACCAAGTCCAGCATCTTTAGCCTGTTCTCATTAACGTTTGTTTCCAGCATGTTCATTTTATGGTTTCTTTTGGGCATCCTCTTGTGGGAACCGATAGTGCGCATGTAATTTCCTTTATTCTATGCACCGCTTGAAGTGGCTAAAAATTTTAATAATATTCGCTTAAGAAAAGCCCCAGAAATTAAGACTACATGTCCAGATTGTGTTAAATGTTTGTTCAGTTTCAGTGTTTCTGAAAAGCACTTCTGGTTATCCAGCATTGACAGATGGTGTGAATTTTACCCTTACTTTGATCTGAAAAAGTGCTTCAAATTACTATTGCTATTCATAACCTGATATAAACCTTTAAAAATATTAGCTTTTAAAAATTCAGTTTTGAGCATGAATTCTAAGAGTTAAAATTTTATTTTGGTGAATGTATATGCATACATCATATATAATCCCAACAGCAGATTTATCCGTGGGTCTACTGTTGCATGAACCTGGCTTACTTTGCTGAATAGTTTTGTTTAGTTTAGTTTATTTGTTCAAGAATCACTTTCACACAGATGCACACTAATGACTCCATTCATGCTCATATCCCTGTGATGTGTTCAAGGAGAATGTCAGCATAATGGAGGAACCTAGGAGCACCAATAAGACTCCAAAGAATGTTTATCAGAATCACACACACCGCAAATATTCTCCTTGTTTGGCAGCTGGCTTTCCTCTTTGAGACAATTTGTTTGAATAGGTCCTTTTCGGCTGTTGTTATTTATTACCAGTTGCTGAGCACAATTAAAATAAAACCTGCACTATCTGCACAGATACTGTAAGAGTTTCTCCCTTGATAGAAAAGGCTAAATGTATGATCTGCACGAGGATCAAAGGAAGCGTGAAAGTATACTATCTGTTGCCTTTTTTTTTCCAAATCTAGTCAACGCCGTGAGACAGACTAGTTCTACTTGCCTGATTGTGATGTCATAAAGTCTTATCCTCTCTGGTCTGCTTTACTGAAAGACTAACTATTTAACTTGTAATCAGTAGGGGGATTCTCTTCAATGATGTGGTCAAGTCATTTGCCAGGTGCTGTGAAGGTTGTGATTTCATTCCTCCAACTGCCTTATTTGGTTTTTCTGAAGATTCCTGGTGGATTGTTGCTTTTTGTGAGTGGGGGGAGGGGGGCGGGGGATCCTTTGGCTTCAGTTTCCCATGGTGATAGAGGTCACAGGTCATGGCATGAGTTGCCTGATACATGTCCTTTTTTGTGTGGCCCCAGTGGACATATTCTATTAAATGGCTAATGTTGATTATGTCTGTTAATTACTCCTTTCATCTATTTTAAGAAAAACCAATTAACAAGTGTAGATGTACACATTTGTAATGAATTTATTAGTGACCTGTGTAAGATTATTGTGGTTTTTTTCTGGATTTGTGTCCGCAAAAGATTTAAAAAAAAATAATTTTACCTGGGCGAAAGAATTAAATTTACTAATAAATACCATTTAATCATATTTATCACTCAGGTAATTATTGAGCGCTATGGCAACGAGAAAAGTCTTCCATCAATGGATAAGTGCAAGTTTCTGATTCCAGACAACTTAAACATGAGTGATGTTGTCAAGATTATCAGGTTTGTGAATGTTAAATCTGGAAATAATGTAAAACTAAATCAGTAACAATCTTAAAGGTACAACTGAAAATATTACTGCAAAGATCAGTGTGCAGGTCCAACTCCGGTACAAGTTGACCTTAAGACTTTTAGCTAAAAGTTCTGTTTATACTCCCCCTAAAACTGTGCCTATAGCTTTGCAAAAAAGTGTTTTTTCTACAGTTTATGGTAATTTCAATTGTGAAGCCATGACAGTGAGGTTTAGAAATATGTCTACCTCTAACCTGAGCACATTTGATCTCTTCTTCTACCAATCATCTCCCTGTGGAGCATAGGCTCAGCCAGCTGGTACCAAACGGTTGACTTGTTCATAGGTGGTTGGCTTAGCTTGTTACATGATTTTGAGTAGCCAACCTGGAACAGCTCATGAAGTCAGGCCCATATAGAGAGTGACTTCCCTTGCCATTCATCCCTGGTTGTGTCATAGGGCCTGTCCAATGTTGCTGCCGTGTCATGCTTAGTGAGCATCCAGCAATACAAGGTATTTTACGAGTTTTACTGACAACACCTAAAACCAACCCTATCTTTAGTTGCCTCTCTTAACATGCTTGAAAGGATACATTGTTACTGTTCTTGTTTTTAGTGAAGTTCAGTTGCAGATAATTAATTTTAAAATAATATTCTAGACTAATTGGTGGTAATACATCTGTTTAGACTGCAGTATAAACCTGTTTGAGAGAATAGGTATGTTAAATCATTCTCAGTTGCTTAAAAATGTGTTCAAAGCCCTCTTTTTGGATGTTGAATTATGCAGCTTTTGAAGTTTATGGGAAAGGGGGTGGAAAGTGGGGATATTCACTGCCCTTTAACAAGTAGCTGTAAAGAGGACCAGTGTGGGTTTTGTTAAAACTGATGTGTTGTGCCAAACGGCACCAATACTTTTCAGTGCAAGTAAGAAGACAATAAAATATTAACTTTTTTTTATTAAAATGAAAAAGTGATGATTATATACTTAATGCTTCTCAGGAAACATTTGGTGCAGGCTGTTGCTACTAGATCTTGCCAGGACCTGCACAGAGGGCCGCTTCCATCATTATCTCTGTACTGTGGTACAGTTATGTCTGGTGTCTTCATTTTCATCACTTTTGTAGGTTTTGCTCAGTGAATATTTAAATTGTAATTGGAAGATACTGTACTACACCACTTGTTTTCACTTTATGTGATGTGCAGGTATGATACATCTTATAGTTTAACTGTGAGCTCTATAGTCTGACTGTGAGCTCTGATGATTTCATATATCTCACTGTCTCTCTCACTTTTTATCTCTCTATCCCTTTCTCTCTATGAATTTTGTTTTCACTATCTGACTGTGTTCTTTCACCATATATACATATTTAGAACGGATCTGTTCCTCTAGGTTTACTCAGGGGCAAACATTTTTAAATTGGTATCGTTACGGGGAAGAGACCCGAGCCTCAGCATGGAAAGATCATTGACAGAATACAGGTGGCAGTGTTCTGCGAGCCAATTGCTAGGCCTCAGCGAGCTGCCAATTGAATAGCCCTGATATAGAAGGTGATCTGAATTGACAGAAAATAATCTGTGTACTTTATTTAACTATAGAAATGACTGCAGATTGGTAGTTACCAACCTCTAAACACATTTGCGCATTTGTCCATATTCCCATGATCCTTTTTATCATTGGCTTGACAAATTTTGGACCGCTGGGTTACTGTTGACTGTTTGATCATGTTTTTTTCTTCTGGTCAACAGACACACTGAATGGAATATTTCCGTGTTTTCAAAGGCCCATCCACTAAGCCAGATTTTGGATGCATTTCTTGTGTGCCCTTAAGCCTTCTTTTGTACTGAACCCTGTAGTATGGTTTTGTAAAGGCGGGTCAATCTTGTTGCAAGTCCAGTAGAATTCTCATTTCCACACCATTGAAATTTGCATAAGTTTGCCGTTGTTAAAAGGTTTTGATGGTTGCTGATGTAGTAAATGTTGATTTTAGCCAACTTCATCATTAATGTGTACTCAGTACCTGCTGTGTTTTATGTAAGCTGGTATTACTCTAATGTTTCTAATGTGATCTTAATCTCTGATCTAAAATTTTCGGCGACCCATTGTGAATATATGTGTGAGGGCATATTACATTTGTGTGAATTATGCTGTAAACTAAATATCTGGTAGTGTAGGTATGATCAGGGGAACATTGGGCATCAGTGCCTGTACTTGACACTTTTTTCAGTGTAGGCAAGGGGTAGGCAGTGTAGTCAGAATGCCCTATTACCAACTGCCACAGAGAGCCACGCTGAAGAAATGCAATGAACACAGAGCAAGGGGAAAGACCAAGCCAAAAGAGATGGAGTGACGCTATCAGGAGCAGCCTAACAGAAATGAACACCAGCTTGTACAATGCATTGGAAAAGGCGCGCAAACGATCCTGACATCTCCCCCCAACACCTTGCTGAGGTCAATGGTAGAAGAGAAGAAAAAGAAGGGCAGGGGTGGTTCTGAGGATTTTAGTCAAGATGGCTAGTGCATGAGCCATGGACTGTGCAGTTAGGGTAATATTTTTGGATCATAACAGTTACTGTAAGAACAAATCGTAACCCTGAAGGATTGAATAGGATATAACTTATGTTATCTGAAAAATGATATTTTATTAGTTACAAATGTAACGGATATCCATAAAAGTAGGAGAATGTGATCTCTAATATGTATACTTTTAACAGTTTTTGACTCCTCAGTGTTACCCTCTCTAAACTGTATGTGCCTTTGATCATAGATCTTTCTCATTTAACTGCATTGTACACATTCATTTGTTTTTATCAGTACCCTATTTATTTCTTCAAAAATGAATAGCCACACTTTGGTACCCTTTCCTTGATCTTCCCTTATGCATTATATTGTTATTACTTATAAACTGATGTCAGTGAATGAATGTGTGCTGTCCTTAAGCAGTATTATATTTTTTATGGTTGAGGTGTCTGCTGAAATCACTGTATTACTTATTGCCCATTTGGCATTTGTGTAAATTAACTAAACCTCATTCCTGCTACTTGATAGCTCAGTTTCCAGTATACTTACTGGATTCCTATCAAATCAAGTTCAGTCCCCATCAGCTGTTTTAGTTTGAAAGTTAAGAAGCTGATGTCCAAGAGTAGTAGTTATAATGAAAATAAAAAACATGCATTATTTTCAGCTTTGCAGTGGAATTAGTCCCTGAGGAAGTCAGATTTTTTGAGTGTGTCTTACCAATTCTAAAATGTCATGGAACACAATTGGTGATGGTTAAATGCAAATGGAAGAGCCAAACATTCAGCACCCTTTGCTTGAAACTGAAATAATTAACTGCTGTATATGACAAATAGGTTTGAAATTGACCCAGTTTTGTACGTGTAGGGATCTAAAAATATTGGTCCAGCACCAAATGTGCAACACATGAATTAGTTAGGGGATACTTGAGTCTATCCTAGGTCCAGTGCATAGGCATTCAGGTCACCGGAGCTCCCAAAATGGCATGCATTTATGGATGTGAGGTTGGTTCAAAGACCCCCTCCCCCAAGCCCCAAAATGGCATGTACTTATGGATGTGAGGTTGGTTGAAAGACTTGCACCTCCCTGATCTGGTACCAAAATACCATCTCAACAACGAGTGCCTTGCATAGATTTCCTGTTTTTCTTCAAGTGATGAAACCAGTGTCTTCAGTTCTAGTATTGAAATATGACATCTGTTGAAAGATATATTAGCATGTAACCATGTCATGATTCAGCACAATGTATACAGGCACTAATCTTATGATCCTCAATTACTGGGGTTTGATTCCTGTTGTCCCTGGGTGGGTTCTGGGGCTCAGCTGTGGGGAAAACAAGAATGAACCCATCATATGTGCTCACAACATTCATGTTCTGAAACAAGAAGTGGACGAACAACCAAAACTTTCCGCTGAAGTTTACAGCTGGTGAACAGGAAGAAGAAGAAAAGATTCCTGTCACTGACAGTCAATTTAAAGAAATAAAAATCATGATTTTTGGACAGAAGTGCAAGAGCCATGCTGTGGAAGAGACAGGAGCCATGCCACAAACATCGCAAAGGGTAACAATGGAAACACTGTAAGCAACCTTCACTGGGTAGATGGCACATACAGACACTTGGACTGGGCTTAGGTTTGTACTGGTCCTCCCACATGTAAATATTTCTGTATCAGTCAGCCTTTTGTAGAGGGAGAAGTTAGACCTGTAGAAACAGGCAGTATTTACCTATGTTGCATTAGTGCATTGTTTTATGATTTTCTGAAGTCTTCATGTTGGGCTTAGGTTTGTACTGGTCCTCCCACAGGTTGTAAATATTCTGTATCAGTCAGCCTGTTGTAGCAGGAGAAGGTAATCCTGTAGAAACAGGCAGTATTTACTTATGTTGTATTAGTATGTGGGTTTTTTTTATTTTTCTTAGTCTTAATGTTGTTTTGTAATGTTAGTCTAAGGTGAAGCTATCAAGAAAGCATTTTATTTTATTGAATAAGACTTGAATTTATTTATAATATTTTATTTAGTTTTATTCCATTTTGTCACAATATAGTTGAGAGTTAAGTTTCTAATTGTGTTAAACCACTTTTAGTTCTGTTTACAGTTGTCACTTAGTCTAGCAATGAAATCACAAAGCCAGTCTAGAAACCAGATAAGTTTCAGTTTAGCAGAAATGTCTGAAAGTCAGTCCAGCAATAACAGATTGTTCCATTATTAATATCTTACCCCAAACAGAGGAAATCCACAGGTCACAGGACAGTCTAATATTTCAGGGGGTGGTAGATAGGCTGCATGCAGTCGTGGGACCTAGGCTGCACTCTATAAGAGAGTGTAGGTGGGTTGAGGTTAGGGCCAGTTGTAGATGTTTTATGGTTTTTTAAAGCATCAGAAAGCCGGGAAACCCAGTCTTACCACCCTTTAAAATGTTGAATTGTCCTGTGACATCATCTGGGGTAGGATATTAATAAAGAACTGAAAGGTCTAAATGTCAGTCTAGCAAACATGTCTAAAGTCAGTCTAGAAACAAATTCAACAGTCAGAGGCGCTTAATTACACTGTTAAGTACTCTACAGGGAGCCACTATGGCACAGTGGCTAGAAGATGCTCGCTTGCGGATTGAAAGGTCATTGGCTCGGATCTTGACAGCGCCAGACTTTTTTAAAAAGATGACCTTGGCTTACATGTCGACCCGGCCTTGAGTGGTTGCCAGGTACAGTCCTGGAAGGTAAAGCCAGTCAGCATGATATTGACCACATCACCCACAGAGTGCTGACTGGTCTATAAAATATAGGTCTAGCCCTATATGCCCAATATGCCTTTAAGCGTGTGGAAAGGTTTTTATTTTTGAAGTCTTCTAGATTGTTTTGATTTTCACATGTATCTTTTCACTAAGTTTCTTCAAGGGTATGGGTTTATCACTAGCTCACAAATGGTGGACCTAGTTTGGATGGGTTGAGATTCATTTAGATATTTATAACATCATTTGGATATTTATAACATCATTTGGGTATTTATAACATCACTTGAATATTTATATAATATTTTTTAATATATTTATCCTGTCATTTAGAACATCATTTGAGGGTCATATAAACATGTCAACTTAAGAAACTAGACTGTTATATTCACTCAGACCTTTAATTGTGTTGCCATATATGTACCAGACAAAATGCTTTTGCAACCCTGATACAGCCTGCAGGCTGGCTGTTCCCTACATCTTCAGTAACTTACTGTCATAGTACTTAAAGGCTATTTGCAGTGTCAGGGGGATGGGCTCTCCACGGCCAAGTGGTTGAGCTCTTTGCCTTCTGAAGGTTATAAGTTTGTCCCAGGAGTGCAGTTGGTACAGAGAACCCCCTGAATTGTTGCTGGAGTTGTAGATTTCATGATTAGTGTGATGCTCTTGGCAGATAGCTAGCTATTCTGTAGTGAGATATTGAGCTAGCCATTCTGTAGTGAGATATTGAGCTTGTCATTCTGTAGTGAGATATTGAGCTAGCCATTCTGTAGTGAGATATTGAGC